CAATGAGTAAATAAACAGCTTTTATAACATTGGGAACATTGCATTTAACTGAATTCGTTCTAACTTCGGTATTGTCTATCGTTTAAGATAGCATTTAAAGTATAGATTCCTCTTTATTATCGCAAGATCGTAAATCCTATACCTTACGGGATATCTTATCGTAAGTGTTAAAAAATAAAGATTTATACCCTTATAACATAAATTAATTTAAAAATTTTTGATATATATTTATAGGTAATTTCATCGTAACGTTTCATAACCCTGTAGTCAGTTTTTTTTCAAATTTTTTTTATAAAAATTCTATATGTAATTCAAAATCGTAAATACTGCACCAATTCATAATATTTTGTAAAGTTGCAAAAGAACTGAATTTTTCTTTTATAATATTATACTTTGTGTGAATTTTTCACTTTTTTTGCTGTATTGCCGTCATGGAAAAAGATTTTAATAACTTTTTTATTAGTATTAATTTCATTACCGAAAAAAAGAAAATTGAAAATATTTTTATAATCGCATAAATAATTCATTGTTTTGCAGTATAGGTAATAAATATTTCGTAACTAAAAATATATAATATTAAATTTTAATAAATTTATTTTACTTTAGAAATGTAATAAAAATTTCATTACTAAAACACTGATAATTTAAATATGAAAAAAACAATTTGCTTGCCAAATGTAAATAACTATACCGGAATAATTTTAATTTAGGAAGGGTTCTCATGGAAATCTGGAGTATATAATTTTTTTATAGACCCCAAAATATAATATTGAAATTTGAACAATTAGAATAAATTTTGCTGGTGCTTACAAAAAATTCACTTCTCATAGCAAAATGTGGATTATTATTGATAACCCAAATTAATATATCCGAAACCAATTTTGCGAACATACTTTCATAAAACGTCACACAATCTAAAATTACAATAATTAAATAGATACAGTGTTCTTCACTGAAAACTAAACAGTAATGGTCACTTTATTTTATGAAAGCTAATTTTACTTAAGATTTCTTATAAAAAAAAGAAAAAAATTTCTTTAATTTGTATTCAATATATGTATGTACGTAATATTGTGTAATAATAGTTTTTTTTTGAAACAGAACCAACAATTTCTTATATAAATTTTTATGGTATTAAAAACAATTTAAAATAAAAACATCTCTCCAATGAACATCATAAAGTTAAAGGAAGAGAAACGAAAAAATAATAATTTACTGTCAAAATTATCTACCAGAAAATTACTTCAACTCAATCAATATCACCATATATCACTAATATAGCATCAATAACAAAGTAACAACAGTAACAATAACAACAATAACAAAACAATATCAAATTAATTTCGAAAAGTACCTTTATATAAAAAAAAAAAATTAAAGTTTACTGCAGAGTTACGCGAATTTATTGATCGGTATCGAAAACTTGAAATATGATAAATTAGTTTTTGTACAAATTCATACCTACACATATCTATGGATAAAGCTACAGCACGACAGTAACAAATTTGAGTACAGACAGAATAAAAATTTGAGAAAAAAGAATTTCGCATAAACAATTTTTTTTTTTTGTTAAATTCGAAACAAAAAAAAAAATGATTGAAAGTTTAATTTAAAAAATTTAATATTATTTTTACGTGAAATAAGTGACTGAAAATGGCATATGTTTAAGTACATGTGTGTATAACAAATTGTAGTTTATATTTGAAAAAAATCTATACATATACACTATATTTATACCACACGGTTCTCAAAACTTTTCCAAAAAGAAATCGGAAATATAGTATCTTAGTTTATTAGAAAGATGCTTAACGCAGTGTTTTTGTGTTTAAAAACGGAATTTCTGTATAGCAAACACACGAAATCCCGCAGATTTTGTCCCAAATACGAGAATTTCTAATTTGTTGTACTAATTCAAAAAATTCAGCAAAAAGAATTTGTCAATTTTTTTTTGTAGGAAAGTTCAATATTCTTTACTTTGCCTACACATGAGTTAAAACAATCAAACAAAATTTGTTGAATATATATTTCGATTCTTTTGTATAACAGTACAAAACTGTTATAATATAACAAATAAAATGTTGTCAAGTCAAAAAATTTTTGCGGGAAAAATTTATAAACCCAAAGGCTGTTAATAATAATTAAATATTATTGATATCGTAAATATAATTATAATATCGTAATCAAAATATAACATGTATTTATACCAATAGCGGAAGTAATAGAAATTTTAAACTATAATTCATACTTTTAATTTATACAATTCCTTTTACTCGGCTATATATAATACTCGTACCGATTATTAAAAAATAAATTCATCAAATGACAAAAACATGAGATTATTATAATGTTTAAACAAGTTGTATGAAGATGGAAAATAATTTTCCGGAATAAATCCCACATAAAATATACGTAAAAATATTAAAATTGTCAACAAAATCAATCAATAAACTATGAACTATGTTTTAACTGATGCCATACAATATTTGTATGTATGCACATAATACATATATTAATTCATGTATAATATATGGCAATGACACCCATATATAAATACGGAAAAACAAATTCACTAATATGCAAAAAAAACCATGGAATAAACACATGTTATAAAGATCAGCAGTAGTATTTGACTAAAAAAAAACCTGATTCCAGGAAAATTATACATAAAATTACGATAAATAGAAAACTTGTATTGTATAGATTAGTAAAAGAGGCGGAGGAGGGAGCCTATACGACATACGAGGCAATCAAATTAAAAATAACGATACCATCATTTCTAATCACAATTTAAGTCTATAAAATAATGGGAAACTATTAAAAGAAAAGACAAGAAAGAAAAAAATATTTAAGTATAATAAAACAATGTAAGTAATTAATGGCAAATGGCAATGTTTGCCGATAGAAATGATTAGTGTATAAGTAAAGTGAGTTAGACGATAATAAAGTAAGCGAATTTTGAAAAGTAATTATAATTTTTTGCCATAAAATTTATGTAAAATATAAATTTGAAATTTTTTCAAAGACCTTGTCATACATAAAATACTTCCTTTCTTTTTAATAAAAATTTTGATTAACGACCTTCTCTTATGTTATATACCATTTTCTTTTTTTTTTTTTTGTTTCTTTTTATTTCTAGTTTTAATTTTCATGTTCGGATATCATAGATATAAAATTTTTAATTATTTTAAAATTGATGATTGGCATTATTGTCTATTAAATTATTTGAAAATAATCGAAAATATCAAAACAATTAAAATATGGAAAGAAAAAGCAAAAAAAAATAACCAAAAAATTTTTTTAACATTATGCTTCAATTTATATTAAATTTTTAATGGTTTTGCTTGGTAATTCGAAAAAAAAAATGAAAAACCATAACCAAATAATTAATTATTTAAATTAGTAATGATAATTACGTTTATCATAAATCTAAAATAATTATACTTGTCTTTTATATATAATAATATGGTCAGATGTTAAAATTTATAGTTATATACAACAATCTAAGTATGTAACATTGAGTTTATTATGAGTTTTAACATTGAAATTTTGTGTATTATTAAAATTTTTTTATATGAAAATGAAATTTATATAGGAAAATTGTAAAAACTTTCTAGATTAATCATTGATTTTCTAAATATCATTCCTTCTCCTTTAAGTTATAATAGATTAAATTAGTGAAATTGCAAATTTTTGATAGCTTTCTGTGTTCAAATCATATGGGTAATTTATAAATTGGGCACAGAAAGCTGTTTATTTATTTCTTTATTTGAAAGAAATCGTATAGATTAGCAAATTACATGATGATGAATATAATTAGACAATTAAAATTAGTGCCATTGTGTCAAAATTTGTTTCCTTTGTTGCTTTCAATTCCTTTTTTTAAAGATAATTATTTCCTATAAGTAAATCGGTAAGTAAAGTAAATCGGGCGAGTTTTAAGTTTTAACGGAATTAATGTTTAACTATATACTTGCCCACTTCTCGAGCAACAATTTATCAAATTTCATAAAATTTAGAGCTGTGCAGAAAATTGTTCATTCAATTTTCTATAAATGTACAGAAATTTACCTAGAATTGCGCCTAGAATATTATTACTTTAAATTTTTTTCCTAAATATATGCAATATTATGGCTTGATCCACTATATTTTGGTATATGCACAATAATATCTAACAAAATGGAAAGGTATAACATCAATTAAATGTCAAAATATTAGCCCTCAACAGAAAAGGGGAATAAGTGTTTGAAGGGTCTATCAATAGATTATTTAAAGTATAACATTGAATAATACGTCATGCCGCAGTTGTCGGGAGATAGACAAAAAAGAGACGCTTTTTCACTATCTCTGCGAGTGTCCGGCTCTTCAAAGGGCCAGGTTGTTGTCATTTGGGGAAACGGACATAATGGAACTGGGGAACATTTCTAGTAAAAGTATCGGGGACGTAAATAAGTTCCTTAAAAGAACGGGGTGGCTCTGATCGCTGGCCCTGGACCAACGTACTTTGACAACCGGGTTTCACGAGGCGGTGGTAGCAAAACGGCACGTCAGTGCTAATTGGGGTGTTGGCCAGTCGGGTCGCACCGGCCACTCTAACCAACCAACCAACCATAACATTGAAATTGAGTATTTTTAAGGAATAAAAACAGATAAGTTTGCCATGGTCTTAAAATAATATCATTTAAGTAAAAAATGGCTTAAGAATTTTTGTTATTCCAAATCAAGCCCAATTCCTTTTTTATTTTTTACTTAGATTTAAAAACTTTATAATATGTTTTTGGGTATTTCTTAAATTTTCAGATAATTTAAGTTTCTTTCTAAAAAAAATTTCATATAGTACTCGTAACTTAAACTTCACATTGTAATAATTTTTTTTTTTTAATATTTTTGCACATTAAATTAAAATATCAAAATAATTTTTTAATAAATGATTTTTAAATTTTTATTAGAATTTTTATCATTAATCATAAAAAAATTATTATATTTTTTTTTTATATTTTTAGATTAAATTTAATATCAACTGTGCTCGTACAACAACTTTAATGTCAAACATTTAGTGAAAATCGCATAACATTGCATTAAAAATAAAAGCCATTTAAATTTTGAAAATTACACATTCAACAAAGAGAACCAACTTAAGGATATTCTGTCGAAGAAAATTTGCGAAAAAAATTCAACAAAAAAAAAAAAATAAAACCTTGAAAAACATCATTGAAATTATTAACAATATTAAAAAACAAAAGAAAAGGACTCTTGAAGACAGCATCCATAATTACACACTCAGCAAATAATCTTTTTAAATATAAAGAATTTCGTATATGTGAAGAAGGAAGAAATTAAAATATCTTGTAAATTTTACTACATACTTTAGGCATCCAATTGAAAATTTCTTCTTAACATGAAAATATAATTATTATATAACCTTATAATAATTATATAGGAGACAAAATTCAGAATTTATTTTTATCAACACGTATATGCGAATAATTTTTTTTCATAAAAAATTTTTTCAAATGCTCAAATAATTATATTGTAAATGAAAATATAAAAATTTTAAGGAAATGAAATTAATTATTGTAAGAATTTTTCCTTCTTCATTACCTACAAAAGCAATTAAAATCAAAAGGAAAAAGGATTATACATAATTAAAACAGAAAAGAAAATTATATTTGAAAAAAAAAAACAATAGAAGTATAACGTGATAAAAATCCAAATTCTAGAGGAGCAAGACAGATATATAAAAAAAACCGTGAAAGGAAGAGGAGAAAAATTTATTATAAAATTGAAGGACGTAAAGGAAAAAAAAAAATCTTCAAATTACGAACAAAAGCAAAAGGATATCTTTTATTTCTATATTTTTTTGGCAAAATTTCATATACAAAATTGTAAATTGTTTAAATTCAGAGCTACTTTTACCAATATTTATTTAAACTCAACACTTATATAACCTAGAAAGTGCAGCATTATTAAATTTTAGTTTTCATCTTCGACTAATGGTTTTTTATTCTTCAAATATACCGAAATACTGCATTTTAATTATTTATATTTTACCATTTTTTACCATTATACTTAAATAAGTTTTTTCGCTGTTTATAAATATTTTGAGGTAAGCACCAATTTTCTTATAAAATATTTTTCTAAATTTTGAATATTTTTGATTTTTTTTAAGGGATCATACACTTTCATGTTAAAAAAAATCAGGTTAATTCTATATAAATTTAGGGTTTCTTATAGGAATTTAGTTTAAAATCGTGTTTAGTTGAATTTTTAGTTGTTTATAGTAGTTTTTGGTTGTATTGTTCACTTATCCACATTTTTGAGTGATTGATCAAAATAAGATTGCATTGCTATTCCTAAGTTACTTTTTAAATATATTTTCTATAGTCCTCTCTTTTTATGAAAATATCACTATAGTCGAATTATTTTTCATTGACAAAATATATTTTGCATAAGCTAAAGAAGAGTGAATCAATGTAATAGAAAATAAAAGTAGATCTTTTAAAATGTTCTTATCTAATTGAATTTGAAGCATTAAAAACATACACAATTATACTGATGCCACTTTAAAAAAATATATTAATTTTAATATATTAATTTTTATTTATTAAATTAAAAATATTAATACTTGTATTATTATCGACAGTATTATTACTCTTAAAATGATTTAATTAAACTTATTTAATTCAATTATTTTTTCTTTATTTTAGTACATACAAGAATGCTCATAAAACTTTCTCGTAGCTGAAGAAAATGCCGATTACTATCAAATCCATAAATATTATCTGGAGTAATTTTTTAACCCCACGATGTCAGTGAATTAAAAAACATGATATAGGATGAATTAAAAACATTATATTACGGGTTAATTGAGAAATATGCGAAAGAATAATAAGAGTAATTTTAATATTCATGAATAATGCCATTATTGAATTGCAGAACCTAAAAAGAAATTGTTAAGAATAAGAAATGTGTAATTATGTAGGTTGATTTTATATAGTTCATTATCTTCTCTCGTAAAGTGTATAGGAGTACTGATTGAATACTGACATTGGGTGTGATAAATATATAAGATACTCATGTAATTTTAAAATACTTATCTGTGATGTCGTGATATTATTTGGATGATTCATTAGTTTAAATTGCAAGTATATTGTTACGATTGATATAGTTTTTATGAAGAAATCAAAATTTTTATTTGCAAAATGTGATAACGGAAAAATTTTTTATGTCAAATTGTAAACTTTTGAAAATAGCAATTTTTTGACTTTCTATGTCGAATATGATGCTGTTATTTTGCTTTTATAGATACTTCTGCATAACTTAAATCTTATAGATTTTTGTCCTTGCAAAATTCAATGCATATACCAAAAAAAGTTGTTTGTCGATATTGTCATAATCAATGAAAAATAAATTACAGATATCCTTAATTTTTGTTATTGTATATAGAAGAATCATAACTCCAGAGTCCTTAAATTTTTTTTATCTTTTCTTCTAATGATCATATTTTAAATGCAAATTTTATTGAATGCAATTATTAAACTTCTATAATAGTCGAAATTCATGCATGTAAACAAAATCATTTTAACAATCATTTCTTAATTTTTCGAAATATTTAAAATCTTTAATTAGAAACTAAGTTAATTTAAACTTAGTCAAGATTTCAACTCATCCCAAGATCTCTCATAATAATTTATTTAAAATTGTGTAAAGAACATACTAAAATTCTTATAAATATTTCATAAAATCATTTGATAAAATCTAAAAATTATAAAATCACAATAATTATTATATGATAATAAAATAATTTTCCTGTTAAAATAAATTTCCTGTTTAATAATTTTCTCATATATGTACCCATTTTGTATGCCACAAATATACAAACACAAAAACATATACTTAATTCACTTTATGGGAAATAATATTAGCCCCAAACACCACTAAAAATTTTTTGTATTTTAAAATATAATTTTTTGTACTAATCATTAATGGTAAAAGTTCTTTATCTTTTGACCTCTTACTTTGCTTACTTATAACATGTAAAATTAATTTAGGTATATACATATTACATAAATATTCATATAATGTAATGTAAGACAGTATATTATATAGATATGATTATGTGTGAAGATATGCAATTATTTTAAAAAGTTTAGTGAGAAAAATGTCAAATTTTTTAGATACACTATCATTATATCATATGTTACTATACGCACTTAATCCTCTTTCATTGAAATTATATTGGTATATGTATGTATATGAAAAATAATTGAGAAAGATTGAAGGGAAGGGAAGTATATGCGATTACATTGCAAAGGTCGTATCTATAGAGTACACAGCATTTGTAGTAGATAAAAGTAACAAAAATATGTGCAACAACAAAAACTATACAGGAATTTAAGTAATTCCAGATGCACTTAACAATTTAAACTTTTTTCCTTTTTTTTGTTCTTTTGAAATTTTTAACTTTTTATCATCACATGCTTTTGACCAACCCATATAACACCCAGTTAAAAAAACGAGAAAAATTAAAATAAAATAAATAATTTTTTATCACCTTCTATAGAACAAAAATAAAAACAAAAATAACTTAAAAGCATGGAAAATACCGTACAATTACACCATCGCAGACTTTACACTGTCAGAAAAAAAAAATTATCACAATTTCAGAATTTTGCTTTTCTTTTGATGGTTCAGTTTAATTTTTTTTTTTTCATCTCTTTTCTCTTTATTTTTTTGCTTGTTTTTCTTATACTTGCTTTTGTTATCTGTAACCTGTCCGATTTGGTGCTAACAATGGGTGTACGCGCTGGTAAATTGTTCTGTCGGTCATTCCTCTTCTCGGATTTCTTTATAAGTACACGAAGAAAAAAAAAAGCACTTATTTTTCACTTTTTCACTTTTTTTTATTATTACTGTTTTTCATCTTTAAATGAACGTTTATTACACGTACACACTTTATTCTGGTGTAAATTAACAAAATTTTTTAAAATAATAGTTATGTGTTTATATATGTACGTTAAGTTCGTATATAGGTGAATGATGGCAAGAATAGATGTGAAGATTAAAAGCACAAAACAAAAAATATTTTTACATTGTTATCTCTTGCTATAGGCTACAATGCTACATAATTTAATTGCAAAAAATGAAGAAATAGAAAACTTTAAATTTCAAAGAGAAATTTTAATAAAAAATATGGGCTTAAAGCAATACTCTTACCATTTAGAATTTATACCGTGATAGTTTTTTGTAATATAAGAGAGCATTATTTTATAAAGAGATAATTATTTTATAATATAAGAGAGCATTATTTTAAAAAAATGTAAGATATAGCTTTTTTAGTCACTTTTAAAATTTTGAATTTCTCAATTGCTGAATTTTGAAATCTGGAATTTCCAATTGCTTTTTTTATATTTTCAATTATAATTCTTATTTTTTTTTTTTTAATCGAATATCTAATTAGATACTCGATTTGAAATTTACATTTCCAAATAAATATCCTAAATATAAATTATAGTTATAACTCATTCAGAAAACCCAGTGACTAAATGACAAACGGAAACTATAAGGCAAATATATATATAATTACAAATTTGTAAATAAATACTTATATACAAATGAATACGATAAACATTTTTCTTATTTGATAATAAAATAATTATGTTTTATGAACGAAAACATGATACGTCGTCAGTCAATTTATTCTCAATTCAGTTAATGAAAAATTGAAATAAAAAATAAAGAGGTTTGCTTATCATTCTTAGTCTTAAATCTCGCTAATCAATCTGTCGTTGGTGCAATCTAAGCTCGTATCGTTTCAATTCAATTCCCATAACTGTTATAAATTTATATTAAAATTCATAATATCTTTTTAATTTTTTTATTAAAATTCTTTTTATAATAAAAAGAGAAATTTATGAAAAAGAAATATGTATATATATTTTTTAGCGTAAATAATGCACCTACAGATATTTTTGTTTATTTTTCACATTACATATTATATTAAGTAAGAATAAAAATGAAAAACTTTTATAATATTATAACAGTACCTACTTGTACATGATATAATGTTTTAAGTAAACTAACTTATTTTTACTTACGTTTTTTTCATTTTTTATTATTTAATGTCTTTTAAATCTTTTGCCTCTTACACGTAAAATAGAGAAAGAATGCAATGCGGACAATGAAAGAAAGCTTCTAGATGAAATTTTTGCTTATTTTTTTTCCTTCATTTTATTATTATAATTAAGACACTGTAAATAAAGATTGTAAATTTTCTTAAATTTTTAAAAGAATTTCTAAAAAATATCATAATGTCATTCAAAAGTAAATAACTTTGATGTTGTTGCCATATAGTGAATTATTCAATTGTTTTAATTCTTAAGATTTTTTGTTTTTTTTTGTCTAATATGGGACAATAACTTGTTAATTTTTATTGTCTACTAAATAAGAACAAAGAAAAGAATATACATACATGTGTACATGTTATGAACATTCAATAAACTGATGCAGACAAAATAATGCAGAAAATATGTTACCATTACAAGAAAATAGTTTTGTAAGTTTAGAACCAAGCTAAAATTAAAAATATCAATTGAACTCAAATTAATAATGGAAATTTATTGTTACTGAAAATATATATAAATCACAGATGTGAGAAAATTTTCTATTAGGAAAGACTTGTTTTATAAAATAATAAGCTCGTAGAACTTTTTAATTTTTTAATACCATAATCCTTATATTAATTCTTAAATCGCCATAGATCCAATTTTGAACATTGTTAGCCAACACAATTACATTTGTATTTGAAAATCACATAATAAGGAGTGAAAATTTTGAATGTGACATAAACACTCTAAACCGCAGCCTAATATTTTTTTCTTAAATTAACCTCACAAAATACTTAAACAATTTTCGTTGCTGCTATTTTTCTCACTATGTGTTCAAATTATATACATGCATATAAAAACAACTATAGGTCATATTTTTGCCATTTTTGTTCTTTTTTTTACTTATTGTAAATTATAATATATTTAAGGCAATTTGTGTTTTTTTTGTGTTGTTGTAACTTATATCTTAAACAAAGGCTAATTTACAATTTTTGATTTC